ATATCCACATCATTGGTATCTAGTTTTGATTCTTCCTTTTCGAGATCCATTTCTACTGCCACTAATTTCTCCTTTTTTCGCTTGGGTTTTTTTCTTTCTTCAGTATTATCCTCCTCTACGTTGCCTTTTGAGCCTTCGCTTGCAAATTTTGACTCGGAAATTCCCTCTTTCCCTTTTGATTTCAACTTCTTCTTTTTCTTGTTTTTTCCTTCTTCCATTTCTTCAGCTTTATCACCCCTGTCTAAAAGGTGTTTTGACTCTTCAACTGAGATTTTGCAATCAACTTTTGTTTCTGAGATTTCTTCTTCTCCTTTTGATATCTTTTTCTTTCTCTCATGGTTTCCCTCTTCCTTTTCATCAGTTTCATCATCTTCTTTAATGTGTTTTGACACTGAATCTAAGACTTTGCTTTCAGCTTTAATTTCTGAGCTATTCCCTTCTCCTTTTAATTTTTTCTTCTTTTCCTTGTGTCTTCTCTCTTCTCTTTCTTCGCCTTTATCTTCCTCTGAGTTACCTATCAACACTGCATTTAAGACCTTGCTTTCAGCTCTTGCTTTGGAGACTTTCTCCTCCCCGTTAGATTTCTTTTTCTTTTCCTTGTTTTTTCTCTCTTTCCTTTCTTTACCTTTCTCTTTCTCAGTTACATGGTCTTTTGACTCCTCATCCGAGACTTCACTTTCACCTTTTATTTTACAGACTTTTTCCTTCTCTTTTGATTTCCTCTTCTTTTCCTTGTATTTTCTCTTTTCTATTTCTTCCTCTTTGCCTTCCTCTAAATTGCATTTCAACCCTTCTCCTTCACCTTTTGTTTTGGAGATTTCCTCGTCCTCTTTTGATTTCTTCTTCTTTTTCTTTTTCATTCCATCATCTCTTTCTTCAGCTTTATCTTCCTTTAAATTATGTTTTGATTCCTTCTTTGATACTTCACCTTCAGTTTTCATTTCGGATATTTGGTCTTCCCCCTTCGATTTCCTCTTCTTTTTCTTAAGCTTTTTCTCCTCTCTCTCTCCTGGTTTGTCTTCATCTTCCTCTAGACACCTGCCTTCAGCTTTTATGGCCAGTTCACTCATGAAATTGCTGCCCCTACAACAGAAAAAGTAAGTATAACAAACTTTCATCTTTGTGACAGGTCAAATATAGCAAACTTAAAACCAGAAAGTATGTTATTGCACAAGAAACTCAAAGAGTTTGTAGATAGTAACTAGGTACATATAAAAAGGTAGAGTCTCACAAGCCCAGCTTTTTCATATCTAGTTACCAGAGCTTATTTATTTTTCAAAACTAAAGCAACTGAGAAGAAAGCTATTCCCCCTCCCCTGAGGGGATGATAGTCCATTGAAAGTTACCCATTCCACCCTGTCCTTTCTTTTGGGTTACCTGTACTATTAGTGGGAGGATAGCACACATTTTTCCTCTGGAGTGTACCAGATTAGCCTCTAACTTAAATCAAGGGATATGTGTTTATGATCATAAATTTACTCTTTTTTTGAACTGACACACCAATGGCAAACAGCTGTCTGTAGATTATACCATGGACAATATCTACATGGGGCATTTATTCATCTTTTTCAGTTCACTCTCACAGTTTCTCCTTCCCTCAAGGTGTATGAATTGGAACCAGCCAACTTTCCTGAAGACATGATGAAGCTCTGAGGGGTTATCATGTTTGCTCTTATAACCCCGTGTAGGTTTTTAACTTCTAGAGCCATCAAATGGAATGCAGTTGAAGGAGGGTCTCAATGGGGTTAATTGTTAGATGTAAAATGACCAAAAAAATCAGCCATCAAAAAACTTTTCTTTTAAACACAAAAGAAGGAAGTTAATCATTGAGGGTAAAATGGTCAAAATTTTAACCATTAACGGTAAAAGGTATCACCCCTCTGAGAACCTCTTGTAGAGGGGTCTAATCAGAGGGGGGACTATTGACAAGGAGAGAGGGGAGGCTTATTACAAAGGAGGGTTTGTTAAGAAGGGGAATGGGGTTTCACTGAGGCAGAGCATTCATTCAATACCAATTCAGGGTAGTATTGCATCCTAAGGGAGTAACAGTAATCCTAGTCGCTTCATACAACAGAGTCCTGGGTATGCTTTGATAAGGAAATAGGCCACTGGAGTCGTACGACTAGTACATTTAATCGACAACATGAACTTATTATCACTGACAACAAATGAAGTAACCCGTGACCATTCCTTCCTTTGCAGTTGTTAAAGGCAATATCCTTACCGTTCAATTTTTTTTTCCGAAATTTTCTTACGGCAAGCAAATAATAAGAAAGCGAGATTTTGTAATGACAGAAATGAAAAGCTTTAGATGCGGCGTGGAAGAGGACACGTGCTGAGAGTCACAAGCAAGTTTACAGAACTAATGTTGAACGAAGAGCCTTAAGTTTGAGGTACAGAAAATCATCGATAAAAAATCCAATCATTTCATAAGTGAGGAATTTACCTTGTAGAAAACTGAGCTGTGTTCCAACACAATCCTCTTTGAAAAACTGCACTGTTGTCACACGAGTTTCGAATGGGTTTATGAAGCGTAGAGAATGGGGACGAGGATGGTGAAACTTTCCCCTCCCCTGTAAGTAAGTAAATTGCTCGCTTTGTATAGTATACGGAAGGACTATGGGGCTGTGGATTTTTTTTCTGAGATTGTTAATTCCTGATTACGGATCTTTTGATGCAAAGTGAGGTTGGGATGTCACACTGCATGCTCTGAATCCAATCCAGCTGACTACTGCTCGATATGATAATTTAGTTTGATAATGTAAATTGGCCACCGTAAGGAGTTACAAAGCCGACGTTGCAAGCGTCAGCCCTTCGTCAGGGCGAATAACATCCTTCTAGTTCTTTCACTCAAAAGTGGGTAACGCCAATCCAACAATCTGCTCAAAGCTTACTGTACATAAAGAAACCCTGTTCAAAACCATACCCAGTTGTGCCATATGAAGAAGAGTTTCAACCCTTCCCCCTTCCCCCGACCGGGAAAAAAATCATATTTTTAACATGCCGTGCGTTGTAATACCAAATCCACAATAACCAATCAGAGTCGCGGAAATACAACAAAGAGCCAACAGCTGATTAGTTTTATTCTTTACAAACTGCTTGATAAGTAAGTACAGGTAAGTTTTATATAAATTTATCTTATATAAAGAATACTTATTATTACAATCAAGAATATACTAAAGAGTGCACGGCACTTTGCTACTTATAATCTAATTCGATTTCTTTTATCCTATTAATATCATTAGAATTATACTTAGTAATATAAGTTGAGTATCAAACTGATCCATATAGCAATGCGATCCCTTCGCATTTGTTCAATTGCAAGAATTTTATTCAACACCAAGCATAAATGAAAAATAATATTTACACTGCTATCTGGATATCAAAAACTAAAATAAAGCATGTGTGTTTAAGAACAGAGTTGATCTTCGCCACTCTCTATAGTTCAGTCTTAAGAGGAGCCTGGGCTCATTCCCGACTAGCGGCTGTTTATCGAGCCCATGGAATCATACAGCAACACAGCGGTCAAACGTTCGGCATGCGCAATGAATAAATCGTAGCCAGCCGTGCGCTCATTTCCTGCGCAAAATTTTAAGGGAAAACAGAAAAATCCACATGTTCCAAGCAAAAAAGTACCTGAAATGTTCGAATCTGTGAAAGAAAACTGCAGTAGCGAATTTGGGGGAAAGAAACCTTACGTCTTCTTGAACACAGAGTACATCTTATCAAGGGTTTTCTGTCGGTTTACCATCTTGTCTGAACTCTACCAAAAAAATTAATTATTAGCTGCCTGAAACCACCAAGCTGAGCCGAAATTCTAACTGCGTATTAGCAGTCTAAACGTCCGCAATAGCGCAGACTTTTGACCGCTGTGATTTCTAAAGCAAGTGTGTAAAATAGCTGAAACTCGTCTAACCACGGGCTCACATCACAAACACCGCTGGGAATGAGTCCTTGCGCAGCCATCAAAATAACACTTACGTTACATTGCTGACGCTTATCTTCAGAATGACGAATTCTCACGAATAATAATGTAAATACATCTACAAGTATTATGATCATGATCTGCAAGCTATTAACCATTAATACTCTTTAATGGTTTTCAAGCAAATGTAGTTTTTGCAAAATACTCCTAATTAAAAAATGACGCATACTCAATATACAAGCAATGATTATGGATACCAAGAAACTGAGAACATTAACAGGACTCTTCCTTATGAAAAAATATAGCCTAAATAAATGCCTAATTTAGCCAAAAATAAAAATATCACATTCTTCTTTTTTCGAATAACTGCGCCCTTTCGCTTCCTTCAAAATCCCCCTATATCAATTTATCTCCGAGAGAGGTTTTCTATTCAGTGTCAAATAAATTATTCGATTTCGCAGTACGTATATGATTATCTTTACGAATTGTTTTTTTTTTCTGCTAGGCGCTTTTTCTTGGTGCTTTTTTCCGTTCTCAATGCCGGTTACACGTTTTAGCCGCGATTTCTGTCTGGTTTAAGCTGATTTGTTTTTATTGGATTGTGATTGGCCAGACGCCATCCTGGTTAACCTATGGCACTGATATAAAAAACCGCTGATCTCCATTAATAGGTACATAATTTTCATATAAATGTAGTCTTGGAACCTGCCACTACACTGCTTATTAAAGTAGTTTCAAGTCCAACAGCCTATTTAAGGCGAGTCCTCATCATGATTTTTGGACAATGACAGCCTTCGCAGTCCAACGAAGTTCCTTTTCTTGGAATCTCTCATTGCTTTGAGGGTGATTTTCATTTCTAAAATTAGACGACGTGAGTGTATGATTAATGTTGTCTGTATAGTCTATAGAAAGGAGCCTGATAGCAACCTCAGAGGGGGCAGGGAGATGGGGAAAAGAGGGACCCTGGAGACAATGTTAGACAATTCTCAATTTTCCTTTTTTTTCTTGTTTTGTTTTGTTTTTTTTAAACATTAACCTAAACCACAGACGCTATCCTGGTTAATCTATGGCACTAATATAAAAAACCGCTGATCACCCTTATAAGTAGATAATTTTCCTATAAATGTAGTCTTGGGACCTGCCACTACACTGCTTACTAAAGTAGTTTCAAGTCCAACTGCCTGTTTAAGGCGAATCCTCATCCTGATTTTTGGACATTGACAGGCTTCGCAGTCTACTGAAGCTCTTTTTCTTGGAATCTTTCATTGCTTTGAGTGTGGTTTTCATTTCTAAAAATTAGATGACGTGAGTGTATGATTAAAGTTGTCAGTATAGTCTACAGGAAGGGGCCTGATAGCAACCTCAGAGGGGGTGAGGAGATGGAAAAAAGAGGGACCCTGGAGACAACGTTAAACAATTCTCAAATTTCCTTTTTTTCCCGTAATTAGCACGCGTTTTATGAGGTTGTCCCATTACAGCATTCTGTTCGTGGAAACCTGTAGAGGGAGACATGTACTGAATAACCCGGATTCAACACGTTTGAAAATAGTGTCAACAACATCAAGTCAAAGTCTTGCCTGTAAACTTCCTGAGAAAATAAATAAATCAGACAAAAAGTTTTTTTTTTCTTCCACGATCTGAGTAATATTCGTGCGATGTTTCTAAAAATTTGTCTTGATAAAGGGCAGAGGAACCAACCTAAAACATATCCGTTTGTTAGCGTGCTAATGTCCTCTTAGGGAAATTACACCATATAAAATCGAAGTCTTTAAGCTCCCTGCTTCCTTACTCGATCTATCGCAAAATACATGAAAATTACTCCAACCTTCTTTGTCTTCATCCGTCATGGGTTGCGAAATGACTTTTGATAAACAGTCCATCCACATTCTTCTTTCATTTTCAGTATTCGCCATCATAACAAAATCCCGTTTAGGAGTTGTAAGAGTGAAGCAGTAGTCCTCGTCCTGATGCCTTCCTGACTTGACTCCCTCTTGGAGAGCAAAGCCTTCAGTGT